GCTATTTCCCTCAGAGGGAAAAGCACATCAATTAAAATATATTTTGCAGTATTTCATGGGGGTGGGAGGAAGAAGATATACTGACAGAGATGAGATGATTCTAACAGTTGTCAAATCATGTAGTTTGAAATTTAGAATTCCCACAACTTGCTAAGTTTAACCCTGAAATCTTATACATTTTCAGAAATAGAAACCCTCTCTCATACTTGACATTTCAGAATGTGTCAATGCTAAAATTTGGCATTTAATGGTGTCATTTTAGTAAAAAGAAGAGAAACTGGGCTGGGCTGCAATGTCCATTTAACGTAGCATATAAAGTCAAGTGTTCATACTATGAGTCTAGTATAGGAAAGTCAATTTTGAATGACTATTTCATGGATATATAGTACCCTGCTTCAAGGACATTTCATGGTTATTCAATGACAATTATGCTTAGATTTCCTTGTCCTAGGAACTGTTCCCCAATTAAATCATTCAGATTTATGAATGCCACCAACAGAAAAGAATAGTAGCATCTAATTTCGTGGCAAGAAAGACGTTCTGTCCAGTAGCAAGTAGAAAGCATAGCCATTTCTTTCCTTCCTGCATCTATTGATGAGGATGATTGACAGTGTTTGTTCACCTCAACTTCAGATTTCTCCACAACAGGTCATTCTCAAGATGGTCTCCCTAAATGAAATGAGTGACATTCTAGGTTTTATTTGAAACTCTGACCGTCTGGAAAGTGTTGGCTTGTTTGAGATTCCTCAGCAACCAGAGACCTAACAAGATGATCAACAGATTAACAATTGTGTATTGTTAGTGATTTACATAAATTTATTTAATTACCTTATTTAACAAACACTGTGTACCAGTCACTGTTCTAATTACTTACAAACATTAAATTCCTTTGATTCACTTAGTAGTCATAAGAACTCTATTGGGTAAGAACTATTACGCCCATGTTCCAGATGAGAAAAACTGAGATTCAGGGAAGTAAATAATTTCCCCTAGGATACAACAGATAAAAGTAACCCTGTCTTAAAACTCAGTAATGGTCAACCTTTTTGCATGATGCTCTATCCTTTTCTGGGCCTCCTCACTAAATAATTCTCAATGAAAAATCATTCAGCATGTAACACTGAAAACAATGGCCTAAATAATAATAATTGGACTTATTAAGAGCTTTCTATGTGTCAGATACTGTGCTTAGTGTTAATAATTTTATAAAAAAAAGAACTGATGTTTATTCTTCAGGATAAACAATCATATAAGGAAGGTACCATTACCATTTAAATGACAAAGTTAAGCTGTGGATGACAGTTAACTTTCCACAGTTAAACAACTAATAAAGGAAAGAGAGGATTCAACCCTGGCCCTTTGGAATGAAGAACCCACCTACTTACCATGAATCTGGTCCTTTAAGAAGAGATGACTAAGAAATGATGATTCAGTCTGGCTATTTTTCCTTTTTTCCTCTTTAACATCATATGCCATAAACAACTATTTATTATTATTGAATAGGAGTATCATGTTAAAACAGATGAGTTAGGTGTTTAATTTATCTATGAGAATTTCCTAATAATTATCTTCAAAAAAAGAGTGTGTTAAACTAATTGATAACTCCAGCTTCTATCAGAGTATACCCAATCCTTACTGGTAGGTGATAACAATAATACTATTACTAAAGAAAATGGAAATAATCACTTCCCCCCAAAATTTTAAATTTAGGGTAAAGTCCCAAAGCTTAACTAGGGTCATGTTTATTGCATATGAAGAGATCAGCTGGACAGTGGGTCTCATGACAGAGAGACAGAGATGAGCTCATATTAGAAGTGTGGTTTTAATATAAATCACCAAGAATTTTCTTTTTTACAATATCTATATCTGTATGCAAGTGGTCCATGCTGTCATATGACGATACAAACATTTTCAAGTCACAATTTTAAACACTTGTACAAGATCAAAATACAAATCAAAAACTGGAGTCTCAAATAAATAGAAATCACCAATAATTTTTATTACAATACCACCGCTAGTGCAGATGAAAGTATTTATCTTTGTCATTTTATAATTTTAGAAATTATTTACCATATATCATACTTTTAGTAGTAAATATTTTTATCATTACATAATTAAAATTTAAATTAATAATGTAATGAATATTTTGAATTTTAGTCATTTCATTAAATATATTCATGATCATGGCACTGATTTTTTAATCTGCTTAGCTTTATAATTTTTATTACAACTAAAAAGTGTACTATCAACATTAAACTGCAATTACAAACTTTTTCTTGGTTTGAAATAGAGTGCAGACAATAAAATTGATTTCTCACAATACTACTCTAATCAGTATGTTCTTAAAACTCACTTCAAATGACATACAACATAATACAATATGAAAACAATATTCTTTTTTCTGAGAAAGTACCTTGGTTTGTATCAGAGAAGGACAGAGGCATTTGTAAGACCTATGCTAAGGAATAATTAGCATTTAGCGAATGGCTTTTCAAAACATAGGAGTCTTTAATTCTATGAAAAAGATATACTTTTCTTATATTTTAGAAATCATCTCTGCTAAGGAAAAAAGAATGAAAAGGAGGTAAGTTCTTAAGATAAGTTCTAAATCTATGAATTTTACTATAGAAATTCATTAAAATTATCGTCAACTGCCATAGGCTGTAAGTTAAAACTCAAAAGTTACACAACCTGAATGTTGGAATTTACTTTTCCAGTAAACCTTCTTGGCCTTTTTGTATATTATCCTACTTGAATTCATTTTTAAGTTAAATGTCTCATAAAACTTAATGAACTTTAAGTTATTTTAGGGTTTAACAAGCTCAGGAATTTATTATAAGCAGTATTCTTAAATAATAATAGAATTTTAAAATCTGGCCATCAACCCTCTGCCCTGCAAAAATGAAGGCTCATCTCTGACCTGTTGCCCTTCCCTCAAATCCCCTTTGCTGGGGTAAAGAACTTTTGCCCTTTATAAATTTCCAAACACTGCAAAAGATGCTCCAAAGCCTTTCAAGTCACTGAGAGCCCTCTTGATACCTAGTAAAGACAGCAATGTAGACCAAAGAAATACTTAATTCTAAGCACACCCTTAGATGTAGATGCTCACACATCTGAGTATTACTAGGATGTGCTTGTCAAGGGACATCTACTAAAAATTCTTAGATGAGATACCAAGCAAATGTCCTACGTGGAGGTGAGAATACATGCTCCCTTAAATGTAGACAATTATTTTTATTTCATTCAACTTAATCATGAGCATTAATAAGGAAAGGATAAAAATGAATTAGTTTAAGTGATTAAGGACTTTGCATCCTATCAAATGAATCAAGTACCTATTTTGTGAAACATTTGTTCTTATTTCTGAACCTATGGTTTTTTATATGTCCCTTAAGTGAGGTTGCAGTTAAATTTACTGCAAATGACACACAGTAGTATATGCTCACAGTTTATAAAGAGTGGGGCAAAAGTAAGTTTATAGTCATTCATATGGAAAATAACACAATAATTAATAAATAATAATACAAGAATACATTCTGTGTTTTGTGGATTCACAACTGTAAGCCTACTTTTGCCCCACACTGTATACCTATAGCATTCTCTTTTCTAAGAAAGACTTTTCCTTGGTATCAGGAAAGGACTTAGGCACTGTATTAATATGTAAAGCTAGAATTTGTATTTCCCTTTTACAAGTAAGAAGCAGAAAAATTACATTGTACAGAGGTAAATGACTCATCTGCAGTCATATCAATGCTGTCTTCTGATGGCAAAAATATTCTACAAATATTTAGATCAACTTGCTAATTCAGTAAACATTTCTCAACCTGCTCCTCTTGCCTCTCTAAGTAGTTATGAATCATTCTGTAAATGAAAAGCAGGTATGTGCCACAGGGCCAATATATGAGAAAATGACAAATTTATGTCATTTCTTAGAATACACTCAGTATTTCCATTTCTACCAAAATGCTTTGAGGTTGGTAGGGAAAGTGTTATGACTGACCACACCTTTTGCAGATGAAGAAATCAGGGCCTACAATGCACATTACCTCAGAGCGAATTACCTGAGACACAGTTAATTAAAGAGTCGACCTGGGAATCGTACCTATATATTTCCCTCTAGATTCCAGAATCGACAAGTTTGCTCCTTTCTCACGTCCACACTATTTCATTACCCAGTCTGTGGGCTGGCAAAAAGTTGGCAATGTCTGGCCTCCCAAATGTTTACAGTGTTTGATATGCACTATTTCATTCTATCTTATTCCTTCCTATGTCTTGGTCTAGACTCCTACCATCTCAGTTCGGTTGAGACCATGGATATCTTCAGCCACCGTGGAACAGCCAAATAGTTACCTAGCACAAAGCCAAGGACCTGTGGGGTGTTTTAAATACTTGTTCTTTCACCAACCACAGGCAAAAGTTTTGGGAGATCTATCCCTGAGGGAGTGGGGGGAATTATATGCCACAGGCAAACTGGGCTTATTTACTACACAATTCTGTATTTTTTAACTTCTGTATAAATTCACTAATTTTCTTGTATTCCTGGTTTCAAGAATACTGTAACTTTTATTTTTACGAGAATATTCAGTATTTTCAATGAAGCAGATATCCTCAAACAATTTTGGTGGGGAATGTAACCTTCCTGGATATAATTTATCAATTCATAAATATATTATTTTAAATTGGAATTCCAATAAATCCAATTTTATAAGTGTTGTCTAAGAAATAACTAGAGCTGTTCAAATGCATCTCAAAACTTTTACCTTTAACATGTAAAATTTAGAACAAAAATCCAGAAGACTAACTACAATCCAAGCCTTCTCCTTAAATTCAGTGACTCTCAAGACAGTGTGTGTGTGTGTCAGATAAGCCAGTTCCTTGTTCTCTAAATAACTTTCATAAAATGGAAAACCATTTCTATACATGTTTTATCATTATCATTTTTAGAACAATTTCTACTCCATTCAAACAAATTAAGTTTAGCCTGTGAGTGAGTCACATACCTTTATTACATGATGCTTTTCCTGAAACACAGGAATCTTAAACATTTGGCACCAATATGTTGTACCTTTGTTTGGGACGGGGACCTGTCTTAATAAAAAGGGGAGGAGAACACAAAGTCACATTCTCTTGACAAGCGATTAAGTACAAGTAAAAGTTCTTATACACTTTCAGTAATCCCACTCCTACAGTCATAAAACCTGAAGAAACTTACGTTCTGATTTACCAGCTCAAAGTATGGTATGGCTGTAGGCAACACATTGGTTTTCTCAGGATTCAGCAGCCGCAGACTCTTGGTGCCACGATTGGCGCTGTGGTACTTGGGACCATTTTCTCCCACGTCTTCATGGTGGTAGGCCCAGATCACTTTCACAGTGCTCTCCTGTGATCAGACATGGACACAATTATCTCAGGAGAAGTGAAGAAAAGAGAACAATAACATTTGGAATTCTCTACCATTAATTGTGTAAATCTAATTTGATCATTAAGTATCCAAATAGACAAGTGTGTGTGTGTGTGTGTGTGTGTGTGTGTGTTTGGGGGCGGGGGCGGGGGCGGGCGCAGAAATTGTCTCTCTCAACAGGCAAGATTATGTGTTCCAAAGCACAGGGAAGCACAACGGACAAATAGGTATGCTTTCACGCATTCAGAAATAACAAATCATTGTCATGCTAAACCTCCAAACCAGCAACTGGTAGTTACCAAGCAAATATTCTTGTTAACCAGCAGAGATTTTGGAAAATTAAAAGCTGTTTTGATGCCACAGACATTTTAGGGAAAATAAATAAATAGAATGGAAATTACAATTATTTTCCAGGTCAGAGTTTTTACTTTCATAGGCACTAGCCCAGTTATATGTGTGAATTTACATAAAATGCAAATACAGGAGGAACTTCTGATTCTGGGTTTGTTTGTTAACCTTGAATCTATTTAATAGTCACTTTATGAATCTTGGGACTTTCTAAGGAATCAGTCCATTATTCATTTTGATTTTAGAAGTTCACGAAGGTGAATCAGTTACAAATCAGATGAACTGCTGTATTCCAACTAGAGGAAGTACTGTCATATGACATTGGTTTCCATTTAGCAACCAAGAGAGATTGCCCAAAAAGTTGTGGGGCTGGTGGGAGGGTTTGCTGGGTATAAAGGAATTATTTAGTCCCCCCATAGATAAAGGTGTCTTTGTCAGATCTTTGTAGTAAGAACTTTGAAAATAAATAATACAGCAAATGCTATTTATTTTAAAAGTTATATTCTTGCTCTAGCCGCTTTGTCTCAGGGGATGGAACATCGGTCTATGAACTAAGGGGTCCCAGGTTTGATTCCAGACAAGGGCATATACCTCGGTTGCAGGCTTAATCCCAAGCCCTGGTGGGGCACATTCAGGAGGCAACCAATCTATGTGTCTCTCTCACATCGATGTTTCTCTTTCTGTTTCTCCCACTCTCCTCTAGTCTCTCTAGAAATCAACAGAAAAATATCCTTGGGTGAGGATAAAAAAAAGCTATATTCTTTCTTAATAAGTCAAATGACTATAATTATTATTCCATTAAACTATAAAAAGTGATCCATGTCTTTGCATGTGTTTTTTCTTCCTCTTTTACTCTTTAAGCTGGATGTTAATTAAAATAGCTTCAGATTTTTACATTCCTATTTTTAAAGCTTTGATTGACCAAATAAAACAGATAATTTTACTGGTCCTTACAAAGTGAAATTGATCTAAGATATTTGTGGAAACTCCCAAAGTACCACATGAATTATATAACCTCTAAATATTTAATTTTCGTATGTATAAAGATATTACTTTTTGCATGAGGTCTGCCAATAAGACCTTGTATAATATGTTGATAGGCAATTTTAATCAGTTTACTATTGATAGGCAATTGATAGGCAATTTTAATCAGTTTACTATTCATCTTGATTTTAGAAGTTTACTAAGATGAACCAGTTACAAATCAGAGGAATTATATTCAGGATCATACTTCTCTCTCCTGTAGTACATTTCTCACAATCTTTATCTATTGTCTATTTTCAAACATTATAGAGAAGAAGCAAAAACTCTTTTGAAAGTCAATACACTCTTTAAACAGCTCTTCAAAGTTTGAGATTCACACAAAAATTGCCTTTATTGATATTTATAGTCTTAGATTTTTTGTGGCTTAGAAAGAGAATTCTAGAACATTCCCCCAAAGACTATGTGACTTTGTTATCAAAGATAATGTTTAAATATTTGTTCCTTTTATTCTGTAAAGGGTTTTACAACTGTAAGTGTACAATTTATTCATGCATGCATTCCCTTGGAGACGCCTTACCGTTATGGTCTTGTCATTGATGTCACATGTATGCAGCTCTCTGCTAAATTCAATTACTGTGTGTGTGCTATTTTCCATGGCATAGTCTAGGTGGTAATCTTGCTGTGCATCTTTTTTCAACTCTCTATGTTCATTTGTGAAATAATCCTGTAGAAAATATGGGGGGAAAGTCAGTATATCCTAAATTCAGAAAGAAACGTGTTTAGATTAAGAGGACCTTTAAAAAACTGATTCTGGGTTTGCTTATTACATAATCCTGTATCTGTAGGCATTTTGTAAGCCCTGGAATTTTCTAAGGGTCTGGGGGGTCCCAATTAGAGAATCAATTCCCTAGGAAATTGGCCCATTTTCAACTTCTGGACCTTCAGGAAAAGGCAGTGTGGATGTATAATACCATAAAGCATCAAAAGAGATGGAACATTCGAGATCACTAAGTGTGAAATTGTTTGCCCCAAAGTGAAATAGCTAGTTCATGGCAAAGCAAGAACTAGCCCTACTATTTTCCTGGATGGAGTGTCCCTTCTGCACTTAAGCAAGGAGACCCATCCTTACAATGATAGGCTGTTTTCGTATGAGCTTTAATGGTATATGCTTATTAAAATGAAATATAATGAAAAGTAAAAAAAAATAAACTAGCTGAATTATAAGATATTGAAAAACTAGGGAAGTTTTGTTTTTGTGGATCAGCTGTAACTTTTGTACTAAACTTCTTCAATGGTATACAGTTCACTTCTAGGAGGCAGACAGATGCATCAGAGAGGGCATGAACTTTGAAAACAAATGACTAGGAAAACAAATGACCAGCCCTCCCCTAAATGCCCTGAAGAACCGTTAAAGTCAAACTGTGAGCTCTTATTCTAACATTAGTAAAAGGGGGATAATATATAATATGCCCCACTTTATGGATTTTGAAAGATAAATAAATGAAATAGCATATGAGGGTGTGTGTGAATGCCTACCATGGTTAGTGTCCATTTAATGACATTTCCTTCCCTCTTCTAAATTGTAATTTTCCCCCCAAATATTTCCCTATGCCTTTTACCATTAGCTTACTATATTGAGAGTTATAAAGATCGTATTGTTAATTTTCATCACTTATAGACACAAATTTTGCCTTAACTATTCTGGTTTTTCAGTACATAATGATACTTTATTTTTGGTAAATCACTAAGAATTTTTTTAGAATATACATACTGAAATATAATTATACTAACCTTTACTAACACTAAAATTAAATTTGAAGAAATGATTGCTATGTTTGGGAGAGAAGATACAGTATACAAGGAAAAAACACCTTAAACCATCAATAAATTTGGAACTTTTATTCCTAGTACCTTAATAGCATGTGTGTGTAAATTTGACATCCAGGATCCCAGATCTAGACATTGTTCAAACCCAACATTATTGGCAATGCTCAGAGCCTAACTTTTTCACTCTAGTAACAACTATAATTTATTGAGAACATACTATACCCTAAGCCCACTTTAAGCATTTTACATGCATTAACTCATTTAATCTTCATATCAAGTCTATAAGATAAAACTCTATTTCACAAACGAAGACACTGAAGCATGAAGAGGTGAAGAAGCATCTTGCCCAGGACCACATGGCGGGTAAGTGGTAGTAAAGCCAGTATTCAAACGCAGGCAGCCTGTTCTAACTGTAGTAACCACTTTTGGAAAAGTATAGCTTAGTTCATTTTTCTATGAAAAAAAAATGTACATATCAGGTTTTTCACATAAAATCTTACTTTTCCTACAAAGTGAAATTGATCTAAGATATTTGTGGAAACTCCCAAAGTACCACATGAATTATAAGTTGGGGTTTGTAAAAAATATATATATTTTGAGAACTGGCTGCAATTGTGAAAGCAATTCAAATGAAATATTACTATGAAACTGTGATTTTTCCCACTTTTAATTACACAGATTTTCAATATGTAAATGAAACAACAGTGTCTATAGACAACATGGAATTTAGAGAAATGAACTGTGCTTTATACTAAGCTCACATTTCATTACATGAATCAAGCAATCACAGTTTCACAAACAAAAAGAATACAGTACAAAATGTAATCAGTTTGAAGAGTAGAATAATTACCCTAGTCTTACAAACATGTTTCCAAAACCATTAGTCTCTCAAACTATCCAGCTGGCTTGCCAATTCTCCATTTGTTCTGTTTCCATTCACCAATACCAATTCCTTCCAGCTATTCTACTTTTTCTGGCTTTTCAGATAACCTAGCTCTGAGAAAGAAAATAGAAGAAACTTCCCTCAGGTCTCACTAAAAATCCTAGGGTTCATCTGCCCTGTGTAAACTGCTAAGTTTTCATTTTTTTTTTAAATGTTCAATATATAGAAAAGACAGCTGCCAATTATGTTGAGATTCCAGACTCCTGGAAAAATGTGATTGTCTAAAAGAGCTAATATCTCCAACCTTCATGAGGGAAAACATGAATGGATTTAATTAACACTAAAATTGAAATGCAAAACATTCCATTACCATTTTGTTCCCATTTTTCAAAATTTAAGGCTTATTTGGAAACATCTTCATATTAGCTGTCCAACTAGTATTATTAGTTACATGTCTACTTCAGGGGGGCCCTTATTAATGCTCGGAAATCCATGTTACTCTCTTGCTGTTTTCTCAGGAAACCACCCAAGACAAGTATCATAAACCTTCTCTATACAAGATGCCAACACTTCCCCATCCTCAGTTTATGATCATACATCTCATTTTATTGAGAGAATTTCGGTGAGAACTCACACCATGCCTTCTTTCTATCCTAAGTAATATCTACTTTATGAAATCATAAAACATACTTAATCTAAATGAAATCCTGCCCAGCTGACATGCCTCAGTGGTTGACCAACAACCTATGAACCAGGAGGTCACGGTTCGATTCCCAATAAGGGCATATGCCCAGGTTGTGGGCTTGGTCCCCAGTGTGGGGCCTGCAGGAGGGAGCTGATCAATGATTTGCTCTCATCATTGATGTTTCTATCTTTATCTCCCTTTCTCTCTGAAATCAATAAAAATATATTTTAAAAAATAAGAAGAAAAGAAAAGGAATCCTAAATAGAGAAAATTAAAACAAGGAGCAGATGGGACAAGTAGAAAACAAGTAGATGTAAATAAAATGAAAAAGAAACATTGAAATAGATCCTACATACATAAAAAAGTTAATATTATGCACACCTTGATATAAAAAACTTGGATAATTTAGATGAGAAACAGACAAACTCTGCAAAAGACACAAACCAGCAACTTAGTCAGAAAAAAAGATACTCTAAATAGCCCTACAATCTACTCATGGGTAAAAACCCTTCCTACAAAGAAAATTCTAAGCCAAAGTTCTTTTACTTGATATTTTGTCAAATATTATTTAAGCAAGAGATAATATCAATCCTTCTCAAACTCTTCTAGGAAATAAAAAGGAAAGAGCACTTTCCAACTCATTTTTTGATGCTAGCCTTACCCTGATACCAGAACAAAGGCATTACAAGAAAATTTACAGATCACTTTCTTTCATGAGCCTACCTGCACATTTTTTTAATATAATTTTTATTTCTTAAAGTGTTAAAAAGAGTATTACATATGTCTCCTTTTTTCCCCCCCAAAGTTGATTTTCTTATTTTTACCCAGAGTCCTTAGCACATGCCTGTAATACATCATAAGAAAATAAAGAATTCCTTGATAAAATAATTTCAAAACTTACATCTTTTCTTTTGAGCTATTAGATTTTTTTGTCATATACTGAAAAGCATAGTATCCCGTCTTTGAATTATTTTTTCCCATTAATTTGTACGTAATTTTATGCATTCTGTTAATATACATGAAGAACCCCCACTAGGGGGCACTCAAGACTATTGAGTTGCCATAGTTCCTTAGGTTTTTGTTTGTTTTTAACACGTCCCGACCTCACCGGGGCAGTTTCAACCTCACCGGGGCTGTCCCTACCTCACCGGGGCCGTTTCTACCTGCACATTTTTTAAAAAATGTATGTTAGCAAATAGTTATATATAAAAAAGGATACTATATCTTGACCATGCAGGGTTGGTTCAACATTAGAAAATCAATGCAATTCATTGTATCAAAGTCTAAAAAAGAAAACCATATGATCATCTTGATAAATGCAGAAAAACCATTTGAAACATTCATCCATAGTTAAATATCTCAGTAAACTACCAATAGAAGGGTATTGCTTTAAACTTGTAAAAGGCATCTATAAAAACCTTACAGCTAACATCATACTCAATGATGAAAGACTGAACTCTTCCCCCTCTAAATTTGGGACAAGGAAATCCTGGAAACAAGGTAAGAATGTCCACATTCTTCACTTCCGGAAGCCTCTACTATTGATTGCCCACCTCTGATATCTGTCTCTATCATTCCCATCCCTAACTTGGACATTAAAGTTCTCTCTTTGACATTATACTCCTTTGTCTTCATATTCCTTCCTTTGGGAAACTCATCCACTCCATGAGTTTCCAATCATCACCTTTATTCAGTATCGCATATCCAAAAGTCTATTGGATCCCTTCACCTGGAAGTCTTATTGTCATCTCAAGTGCACTATATCCAAAATTATATTCACCTTCAATCTGTAAGCTTATTTTCTTTACTTACACTGCCCTTCTCCAAGCCATCCAAATTCAAAACCACAGTCTTATTTAACTTCTTTTTCTATTACAACTTCACGGATAGGCCCCGCTCCTATCATGCCTTCCTTTGAAAAAAAATAACCCACCTTTTACTTCCACTCCATTACAGCTTCTCCTATCTCAGTTTAGACTCTACCACCTACATATTTCTGTCAGGTTCTTCCTTCAAAGTTATTCTCAGTGTGTCAATAGATCTAATTCAACAGTCTACAGTACAAAGTTCTGTAACTTAGATGAAGTTTCTCTAAAATTTAGTCTCACTTGATTTTCCAGATGTCTATCATTAATCTTACCACATGATCTTTATTATCAATTTTTTATTCTCCTTAAATACTCTGCCTTTTCCCAGCTCTTTCCTTTTGTTTACATTGTTCCCATCTATCTCCCCTGCTCTCCTCCCCGCACTGAGATTCCTCTCCACTAAGTCCACCCATTGAAGTACTTGCTTCTCTTGAGACCCATGACTCTATCTCCTCTATAAAGTTTTCTTTGATCATTCCAACTGGAAGT